TTAAGAAACAACCCTCTTATAACTGCTTTATGAGTGCCCCAGATTATTTTATTTGGGATCTCTGTAGATATATTTTCCTTAAAATAATTATCAATATGTGTTTTAATTTGTTCTATTGTGTCCTCATCATTTAAGATTTCATTGTTAAGTCTCCAGTTAAATTGTTTCACTCCGGTCTTTATTTCTAGTATTATTGGATTGTGATCCGATTCAGATCTTATTGCTATAGACATGCCTTTAATTTTTGGAAACATAGATGTAGAAACAAGGAACATATTGATTCTGGAGAATGAGTTAAACTGAGGTGTGTGAAAAGTAAATCCATCTTCCCTTGGGTATAGTGAAGACCATACATCATAGAGTTCATAATCTTCCATTAATTTAAAAAAAGATTTTGGTAATTTACCAAACTTCTTTCTTTTATTTCAGCTGGTTGTTCTATCTGTTTCTGGGTTTATTACCCCATTCCAGTCTCCGATAAATAAATAAAACATTTTTATATTCATGTTATTATTATTATTATTATTATTATTATTATTATTATTATTATTATTATTATTATTATTATTATTTTGTGTCACTCATGTATGTATGTCTATATACGTGCTTGTGTTTACACTTGTGTACATGTATTTTCCTTATTACGATATATGGATGTGAGAGCTGGACAGTTAAGAAACAAGATAGGAAGAAAATCAATTCATTTGAGATGTAGTGCAGGAGATAGTGCTAAGGATTCTGTGGACAGCCAAAAAGCCAAACAAATGGGTCCTAGAGCAAATCAAGCCAGAAATCTCCCTTGAAGCCAAGATGACAAAACTGAGGCTGTTGTACTTTGGACACATCATGAGAAGGCACGATTTACTGGAAAAAATAATAATACTAGGAAAGGTGGAGGGAAGCAGAAAGAGAGGAAGGCCACATGCTAGATGGATGGACTCTATTAGGGATGTCATGGGTATGAGTTTGCAGGAACTAAGCAGAACAGTGGAGGACAGGGAATCTTGGAGATGTCTCATCCACAGAGTTGTCATGGGTCAAAATCAACTTGAGGGCAGTTAACAACAAACATATGTACAACTGAATAGTAAGAATTCCTGTTGCCTGTTCCTGTGCTGTCTTCCTTGTCTGTAAGGTAGGGGTGTTGTTTTTCCTTATTGTGTACTTGGAGAGGGGAATTGTGTATCTGTGTATGTCTCTGTGGACGTTTTCACACTTGGGACATTATCACACTGGCCCTAAAGCAGAAAGAATCCTGCATCATTCCTGCACCATTCCGGTTCTTTTTTCCGTGTGTTCACACAACGTCGCACATAACCCCGCCCATCCCTGCATCATTCCAGCATCATTCCAGTTCTTTTGAATTCCAGGTATCTTGAGGAATTACACTCTTGTGACCGGAATGATGCCGGAATGATGCTGCTTTCGCCGTATGTCTGAACACGCGATCCGTATCGTGGAGCATTTCCTCGTCTTGGCCCATGGTTCCCCGCGCTTTTCCCATGGAAGCATCTTATGAGGTATGCTTTCTGTTTGGATTGGGCAACCCAGAACGGGTAAACATGATGGTCCTCTCTAATATTTTAGGGTTGTGGAAGGGATCTTTCCACTTGTGTGTGAACAGGAGATACAGGTCCCCGGAGCAGAACCATCGTGGCATCGTCAATTCCGCAATGATTCCAGTTGCGTCTGATAACGATTTCCGTCTTGCCGGGTCCATTCCGGTATGGTTCTGGATTGATTCCATTCCACTTTCTTGCCACTTTCTTGCCGCTTTGAGACCACAGCGTGATAACGTCCTTGGGGTCTCAAAGCTGCATGGAAGCAATCAAGAATCATACCGGAATTGATCCTGTAGCTTCAGACGGTGAAAGCAGCATCATTCCGGTATGAGTCTTCATTGCTTCTGGCCACGGCAGATGCAATTCCTCTTTAAAAGAGGAATTGCAAAGAACGGGGATGATGCTGCAATGTGCCGGGGATGGGACAGGATGGGGCCGGGTTGGGGCAGGGTGGGGCAGGGCTTGCTGCGACGTCATGTGAACACGCGGAGAAAGGACCCGGCATGATGCAGGATTGCACCGGGGATGGCACTGGATGGGGTGGGGTTTGCTGCGACGTCGTGTGGAAACAGAGGCAAAGGATCCGGCATGGGGCCGGAATGAGGTAGGATTGCTTTTGCTTCAGGCCCCGTGTGAAAACGTCTTGTGTAAGAGAGAGGTGGGGAGGGAACAGCAAGGAAATAAAGATCCTTCTTACAGAGTAACTTTCCTTTTCAGGCTGCAATGCTTCCTAAATACACTTGCCCAAGAGTAAATCTCAATGTACTCTGTGGCACTTAGTTCTGAGTAAAGTATGTCTGATCTTATATGAAGATGAGATATGTAACCATATCTCTCCTGTTGCAAAGACCTGTACTACTCCAAGAGGTGCCTGGATAACATATAGCTGTGAGTCTTGCTACTGGTCCTCTGCATGGCCCACTTCCACTTGACCTGGGGGAGTGGGGTATTAACTGATGGTAGCTGTTGAAAGTACCCAAAAAGTATGAAGGCAGTCCCTTTTGAAGGGTTGCAGCTGGGGCAACATTTGGCTTGGGAGAAAATGCGTGTTTTTGTTTGGTTATATTTCTCTTTCTATTTTTTGGTATTTATCTTTGTATGTGTTAATGCATTCGTATACATTATCAGTGAATTATTTGATCTACTTTTATAATTATTACTGTGTGGTATATAGCCTATTGTATGAATATTTGGAAAGCAAGTGTGGCCTAATGGTATGAGTGCTGGACTATAACTCTGGAGGACAGGGTTTGATTCCTGACTCAGCCATGGAAACACACTGGGTTACTTGGGCAAATCTCATCCTCAGGTAAATGCAGTAACAAATGCCCTCTGAACAAATCTTGCCAAGAATACTCCATGATAGGTTTGCCTTTGGGTCCCCATAAGTTGGAAACAACTTGAAGACACATAAAAAACATGAATATTTACCTTCTGAGTTGTAATTGGCCTTGATTTAAATGTTGGGTTTTATACTGTATAATCTCTTCTGATGTCATTGTTATGTACTTTTGAGTGTGATTTTTATCCTGGAAAAGCAGCATACAAATGAACACAATGTGAATTATCATGCTGAGTTTAGGTATAGCTGAGCACTTTTAGATGCCACAAGAAGTCCAAAATTTGTGGAACTCTTATTCCTGGAAAAGTTGCAGGATATCTGACACTCCAGCAGCTGTTAAATGTACAGTATAGGAGTTCTAAGGACAAAGGTGGAAAAGAAAAGGAGTCAAGAGGATGGGCAAAATATGCACCTCTGCTTTACATTTAAAAAAATCTAGTAAAATTGAACCTTCTATCTATAAAGGAACTTTGGAAGGAGGGCTTCTGAGAGAAAAATCAGTGGTATGTACATGTATACTGGTCAAACCATTTTACAGCCCACAAAATGGCATGTGTAATAAGCAAATAAATTGTATAAAACCAGGATCCCTGGATGTAAGAACTAGACATTCCTAACATTGGGAATGTTGGGAAATGTGAGGGCAATTTGTTTATTTTATTAAAATATTTATATTTTATCTCCCCTATCTAAAAAGATCTCAAGTTGGCATATAATAAAATCAACATGTCCTATTTAAAACAATATAAATAATGAATGGTTTTAAAAGACTAAAATATATTTTGAATAATATAGCTACCAGTAGTTTAAAAAGACCAGCTGAAACCAGTTAAAATATTTTTAAACATGAACTGATCTCCTAACAGAGTAATCAATTGGCAAGGCAGAATCTGAACAATAACCATCCCCACATCACCTACATCCACATGGTATAACAGCTTAGATAAGCTTAGTCTTTTTTGTAAAATGTAAAAACTGTCTCTATTTACAGTTATTGGTGCAAAATCACATGCATGATCTTATGAAGGAGAGAGAAAAAAACAAAGTAGTTGTGAGATAGAGTGATGCGGGAAGAGAAGGTATAGTAAAATAAACAGGAAGCTTGCAAATGTACAAACTAGCAGTTACTGAGTCCAGGCAAGATAAATTCCTAACTGTCGCAGGAGGAGAGAGGCATATAGAGAAACTGCTGAAATCCAGTAAGTATGGGGGAAAGAGTTATGCAATAGAAAAGCTGGATAGATTTTTGCTACTACTTTATATGAAAGTAATGAAATCAAATCAAAAGAATGTGAAGCATGGCTGAACAGCAGGGAGCAGGAACTTACAGACTGCAAGAGCTTTACAACCTTGGAACTGCTTCCCAAGGGAAGCTGTAGAGAGTCCATTATCTAAGCTAATTAAAAAGAGACTGGACACTTCACTGGGAAAAATATCCATTAGGGAACCATTCCACATTGTCAAAGAATGGACTGATTAGCTTAAACCCAATGAAGGGAAAAGAAATGGAGAAATCAATCTGCAGTTAGAGTGAGATATGTAATTCCCATCACTAAGACTGCAGATACAAGAGACAGGACTGGCATCATGTAGATAACTTATCACAAAATTTTCTAGGCTGCTTTATTCAACTAGTCCATTCCTTAAGAGGATAAAAAGTGATCCATGGGGAGAAGTGGGTAAGAAATCATCATCATCAGTAAGTTTTGCCCATAACCAGGAGAAAGAAAAAAGACTGGTTCTAGGTCTCTGATTTCCTTTATCTTCCTCCTTGAATTCCACCTGTTTTGTCTCCAAGGATTATCCAGTAGCCACTACTTTGTGTAGTCCCAATTCACGATTAAGGATAGGTGTGGGGTTTATTAGATTCACATTCCAATGCAAGATTGCCTAGTTTGTACTTCCTGGAAGTACTGGTTTGTACAATAGTGCCCCACTGTTGTTGTGTGCCTTCAAGTTGTTTCTGTCTTATAGTAACTTTAAGGCAGCCCTATTAATGGGGTTGTCTTAGCAAGATTGTTCAGAGGAAGTTTGTCTTTCCATTTCTCTGAGGCAGAGATAATATGACTTGCTCAAGGTCACCCAGTGGGTTTCCATGGCTAAGCAGGGATTCAAACCCTGGTCTCCAGAGTTCTAGTTAAATGTTAAACCACTACACTATGCTGCTGCCAACCACACTGACATTCATGCAATTTGGAATTGGAAGTCCATACATTTGAAGGCCATGATGCACAACACAAAACAAAGATGCATTTTAAAATGTTTACCAAAAAACACTATACTCAATGGGAAAACATATATTCAAATGATAATTTGTGTGTAAATATGTGTACATTTCCATGTGGGAAAAAAAGAGCATTCAGTCCATATTCAACCTGCATCAGAATGAGCTTTGCATTTGAAAAATGAGAACCTTCGCAAGATCAAGTCTGACAGATTCTCATATCTTTACCCACTATTATGTTTTGGAAATGTCTGGAGGATATCACTTGTTACAGGTAATCATCTATAGCCATGTTTTTCACCCAAGAGGAGCCAATCGCCTGAGAAGGCTCAAGCACAGCAGAAAGGTAGCAAAGTAGTGTCTGAGGGCCATCTGCATTGTGCTCCCCAGAGATCTGGTATCCTGAATGGATGACTCATTTGTCCTGTGAGAGGGCTGGATCTTGGAAAGATAAGAGGGATTTGCTATTATTGTCTTCCTTCAATTATAAGGAATCACAAAGGGAGTTCTATCCAAAACAACACCTGAGCCTAGAAGAAAAGGGATGTGGCAGAGATGGGCTGAATCCTAGCCACTCACAGACAGGAGCTGACCAGACAGAATGATGGGATTAATGAGCAAAACGACGATAGGACATGAAAGCTTAACTCTTGTCTGGAAGAGACGGCAGGGAAATTTGACTTTCTTCATTTACCATTATGAAATACTATTCTAGAATCTCACATCAACTTGGAGGTCTCAGATGAATGAAATAAGAAAATATTTTGATGATCTTTTCCCTCTAAACATTATAAAGTTAATGCTTTCTCAAAACCTCTTCCTATCTTTCTACTGTTTCTGTGCCTTGTCTAATAATCCAGAGCAATAATCATCTTTTAGAATAACTGTCTTTACTGTCTTTGAGCTAAAGAATCACCATATTGGATCAATGCAAACACTATTTGTTGGTGTTCATAACAACAATGGCGCTAAATAATTTTAATAAAAATTCTCAATGGTACCAAATAGAACATGTGTGAAATCACTTTTCTCCTTAGGCAAAATTGTTCAGGTGAGATAGTTGTGACTATGAAGAGGGGAATAACATTAACTATGACAAAAGGATAACACACTTTAAAATTAGTGGTAACCTTAGAAAAGGTCTACAATCCAGTAAGGCAAAAAGGGGTTGCAATACAGTCTGAAAATGATTAAGCTGAATGCAGGAACTTCTATTAATGTAATGTTATGGTTGACATTTTAATTATGCAAATGTCAGGGATTTTTAAGCTTTTGGATTTTTTTAAAATGAACCTGTAATTTTTGTCTTTTATGGGAAATATTGAATTTAGCTTTCTAGAAGAAGAAGCCTAGAACTGGAAGGACATGACCAGATGCCCAGAAATGTGACATCTCCATAGTACAGGTTGTGTCTAAGTTATTTTGCTGCCTGAGCATAAGGACAAGATAACACCTGTTAGCAAACCCTGCATATATATGACCCTCCATATTTTCATATTTCATATCAAGAGCCAGCATGTTCTTGAGAGGTCATGATGACGTTTAGAAACACCAGGGAAGGTTCCCAGGAGAAAAAGAATGAAGACCTGGGGATTTGTAGATGAGCCAGGTAGTAGTACAAACAAGGTTGAATAGGTTTATCAGTTGTTCTTTCCTTCTTCCAAGTGCTCTGCATTTCCTCTTGCACCAAGTGACAAAGGAGGACTCATTTGCACTGAGGTAGTAAGCTAGTTCTCTCTGTGCTTCCTGCCAACGTCCCGGTCCACTCACCCTGGGATTGTCCTGATCCAATCACTGTTTTTGGTCACCCTAAAGTTAAAGCCTGTCCATAATCCTATTGTCAATTCCTGGGAAAGAACATCAAGGCTTTGTCAAGATAGCACATCCCCAGAAGCTAACTTTCAGGTATAAATATTGGTCTTAAAAACCTAGCCTCTGCACACAGTATTCATACAATTGTCCAAAGTGTGTTCCATGTATGAGCTATGTTGCCCTCAAACCAAGCTCTTCAAACTGGTAATCATTGCCCTCCTTAAAAACCCCTTAAACTCTATCCATTTCCATATTTCTATTTTGGTTACCTCTAAATGCTGTGTCTGCATGAATTGCTATTGTGTGTATGTGATTGCATTCTGCATTTTTTCTAAATAAAACCCTCTTAATTCACCCAAACCTGGAGTTCCCCTCAGTTATTACTGGTTTTCATGGGTGCCAACAGACCTAAAGGTTACCCAGCCTCTTGCAAAGATAATTTCCCTAACATTTAAAGTAACATTGACAGAGTTGGTGGGGACCCCCATGCCCCACCTTTCTTTGGTTAACACACCCTTTCTTCCATTCAATGCACAGATGCACAGAAGAATCGTACTTAGAAAATGTTGTTTCTACATTGTCTCCCACCACATCTAAGGGTAACAAGACAGTTTAAATGATACTGAGCAGGCTGCTTACAACACAAAGGTCTGTCCTCAATACCTCATTCATACTTCCTCCTGAAGTGACTGCTTCACTCTTTCTAACAGGAAGATTGAGTCCCATTACTGGCACAATGAGCCCCATTACTGGGGAAAAAAGGCTGAATATAAATGAATAATAGTAGCAGAAGGAGGAATGCAGTGGCTCAAGTGGTTAAGATGCTGACTTTGTTGATTGCAAGATCGGCAGGTTGACAGTTGAGGCTCAGGTTCTGCATGATGGGGTGAGCTCCTGTCACTAGTCCCAGCTTCTGCCAACCTAATAATAATAATAATAATAATAATAATAATAATAATAATAATAATAATAATAAAATTTATTTATATCCCACCCCTCTGCAACGCAATCGGGGAGGCTTACAACATTAAAACTACAATAAAATGTGTACAAACCCCAAAACCACCCCCAAATCCTTTAAAAAGAGATTAAATTAAAGCATATTAAAATAAAACACAACACGGCACAAATTTGTCATAATAGCAGCAGCACAAAGAAGGGGAGGAATGACAACTCTTAGGGCCGGGATCACTATTCAGGAAAAGATCCATCTTAACAGCCTTTTTAAAGCTGTTTAATGTGGTAATAAGACAGATCTCGTCTGGCAGGCCGTTCCATAATCTGGGAGTGATGGCAGAGAAGGCCCTCTGAGAGGTTGCAGCCAGCCTTGTTTTAATAGGCTGTAGCAAATTCCTCCCAGAAGACCTGAGTGTGTGGGGTGGATCATACAGAAGGAGGCGGTCCCAGAGATAGGTTGGGCCCAAGCCATGTAGAGCTTTAAAGGTCATTACCAACACCTTGTACTGTGCCCGGAAACTAATAAGCAGCCAGTGAAGTAATTTTAACACAGGTGTAATATCATCTCTCCTTGTTGTTCCTGAGACCAACCTGGCTGCCATATTCTGTACTAATTGAATTTTCTGGGTCAAGCACACAGGTAGCCCCATGTTAGAGCACATTACAGAAGTCAAGATGAGAGGTTACCAGTGCAGGTACCACAGTTTCAAGATTCCTAGTTTCCAGGAAAGGGCACCGCTGGTGTATCAGCCGAAGCTGATAACAGGCACTCCTGACTGATACATTTACCTGATTTGACATCTGGAGCAACTGATCCAGGAGCACCCCCAGACTGTGAACACAGTCCTTGGAGGACAGTGTGACTGGAAGTTGTATTCCCATACCTGGTTTCGGGCCCACAACTCTGAGTACCTCCATTTTATCTGGATTGAGTCTCAATCTGTTTTTCCTCATCCAGTCCATTATTGCCCTAAGACAGTCATTGAGAGGAGATACCCTCTGAAGTTAAAGCTAAGGACCAAGACATGGACAAATATATCTGAGTGTCATCAGTGTACTGATAACACCCCGCCCCATGTCTCTGGATGATCTCTCCCAGTGGCTTCATATATATGTTAAATAGCATCGGGGACAGGATGGCACCTTGTGGGATACCACAATTAAGCTCTTTTTTTAGTAGAGCAACTGTTCCTGAGTTTCACCCTTTGGGATTTGCCCGAGAGGAAGGAACAGAACCACTGCAATGCAATGCCTCTAATTCCTAACCCTCTCAGGCGATCTAAAAGAATGGTATGATCTATTGTATCAAAAGCCACTGAGAGGTCCAGTAGCACCAACATGGTCACAGTACCCCAGTTGATGCCCAGGTAAAGATCATCAGCCACGGCAACCATGGTAATCTCAACTCCATATCCTGTCCTAAAGCCAGTTTGAAATGGATCAAGATAATTGGTTTCTTCCAAGACAGCTTGGAGTTGAAGAGCAACCACCCTCTCAATCACTTTGTGTCAAAACTGTGCCTGCGTGCATATGTTCTGCCAGGTATTTGCTGGGTTGATAGTTAGGTGGGGATGATAATTGGGGTAGTAGTTGGGGTTAGAAGGTTAGCTGTTAGTGTAGGCTTCTAGAATATAAGGCTGTAAGTGGTGGGCGGATGGAAGGAGATAAGGCTGGGAATAGTTTTAGGGAAAGTAGGCCCCTTGGAATGCAAGGCTAGTGGGAGGAGCATGTGATGGCTGGGGAGACAGTGGTGCCTGGGAACGGGCTAGCTAGTGTATGTGAAGGTTGATAAGAAGGGGGGTTGTTTGATGGGGGAATAAGTAGCTGTGGGAATTGTAGGTGGGTGCTAAGTTTTGCACCAGTAAAGGAGGGGTGGAGCAATTAGTTAGCAGGGTTTAATTAGGTGCTTTTGAAAGGGGGGGGGCAGTTCTAGCTTAAATGTTGCGTAGTGGATTGCTGGTTTTGTGTTCTTCAATAAACTCTTAATTGCATTGATTGGCTGGATTACTGGCTACACAGAGTTCTGAATCTGCTCAGATCTGCCACTTTGCTTAGAAAAGGTAGAAGAGAGACTGGCCCATAGTTGTTCCTATCCAGGGGGTCCAGGGAAGGTTTTTTCAGAAGCGCCTTAACTGCCACTTCATTAGACAAGATGGAACAAAACCTTCCCTAAG